AGAAAAATATGCTCGTGGGACCTTCCGTAAATTCAATGCTGTTTCATGAAAAAAGTTCTTAGAGAGCTCGGAGACGTCTCATTTTGTCCAGAAATCTTTGCTCTATTCGAATAAACTAATGATAAAAAGTTCAATTATATTTGTACACAAGAAAATCAATAAATACACAGGGGGTAAGTTTCTTTTGGATCACCCTGTAGTAGTTTGGTTATTTCATCACTTGAATTTGTTTTAACTACAATCAACTATGTACCGCAGATAGAGCGTGTCGACGGCTACAACAATATGTATAAACTGTTGATAAATTTCGGTTTTATAATAAGAAACAAAGTACAATATAATAAAGAAGCATGGAGCAACAATTAGCATCAAACTTAAATAATTCTATGGAAACGAAAAAAATCTTTAAAAAACAATCTTCTTTAGATCAAAATTTTTCCGCAGTGAGTATACTAGTACCTCTATGGCTACGCCAAATTTCAAGCCAAAACTAACTGTTGGTGAGAGATCTTCTTTTGCTTTCCGGTGAGGGGATACCGTTCCAGCACAAATTTCATATTTAATGAATTTCTTTTTTGTCACCACTTACGGTGGAACGTTTTATCAAAAATAATCCAATATGTGAAGTAAGCAAGCCGAAAAGGAACTGTTACTTTTCTAATTTCCTTTCTTGCTAATAAAGTTCAGCGTCTGGAATATCCTTTCTCGATTATGCTAGATCTTGTGCAGATTTGTGATAATTTCTTTTTCAATAAAAAGTACTTCGACTACAATGACAATTCCCTGTGCAAAATTCTGTTGATGAGTCGTTGCTGTCTGTGTTTATTATAGCCAGACTGTCTACAAAGTAGCTCCACAGTATGAGTGAGTGATCTGAAAATACTTTAATTCTCAGTCTGGTCCGTATGAGCATACTAATGGTAGTTTGGTTATTGCTCCAGATACCGCACCGTATCAAGGGTGATGATTAATACTAGGCAAGCACAGTTTTTGTTCTCTTCAGTTTTTGCTGTAATATCACCGTTGCGTTTTAAGATTAATTAATAATTCAATTTCTGATTATCCAAAGGACCATCCCATGTTTAGCAAACCGGCAAAAAACGGTCAACTGACCTCGGTTAACCTCAATTAGCTGCGGTTAATTGACAGTGTTTTGCGGAGTAAGCGATATCAGTGCAAAGCCTTCTCCGAATATTTTCTGATTTTTCTTTTGAGTGTTGAACTCTCATGTGTTTCATATAGCAGTACAATGCATTTTCCTTTTATTCAGTTTCTGTGAAGAAATAATCGTTTATTTGAGGACCGTTAGAAAATCAGTTTATTAGCGTTAATTGCCAATTCTTAAATTAGCAGATGAAGTTTTTTCCAGTTTTTGAACTGTAAAATGATCTTCATTCAATTTTCTACAATCTGATGTAGAACAAAAACTAATCTCATTCACTTCGTATTTTATCTGACGCTTTTGCTGAAGTCCCCAATTGTTACACGCGAAATCTCTGTTTTCAGAAAATCTGACTTTTAGAAAGCTTAGAAAATGCTGGTACAGTAAAGTGTTCTGATTGTGATTAATCTTTCTTTACTGGAAAAGGAACATATTCTCCTTCATCTTGATTGAGTTATTTATTTATGGTTTAACCTTATTTTCCAATCTCCTTATATTTGCCGTACAGAATCATAAATCCACAAAGCATTGTCAAAATTTATTCATCTACATTGCTTCTTATAATAAAATACTCGTTTGTTTTGATGACTAGCGCTGTTGTAAAAGTTTCTTTATCCAAATTATTTATCTGTTCTCCATTTATGCCCTAGGGTTATAAAAAAAGACGTTGTTAATGTTTTATACCCTACCGGCAGCCCATTTATAACTCAACGAATTACATACACTTACATTTATACTCATATAACCTATGTATAACATATATTGTATAATTACTGCTTTGGACTAGGGTGAAGTATAAATATTTATTGAGTAACAGAGAAAAACAAGTGGAAAAAAGAGTTATAAATCGCTATCACAAACGGTCCTCGAAACGATTTTATGATGTATGTTTCTTCATTCTTGCATTCCAGTTATCGGTAAATAAATAGTAGTAGTATATTGCATTTAGCAACTGACTGAACGAACAAGCAACAATTTTATAACTCAAAAATAACAAAATATGTTTTCGTCCTTCGTAAAATCAGTCTTTTCGTCACTTATTTTGCTGGTTCTTCATCAAACAAATGGTACAAATATTACATTCGTTCCACAACCTACTCATATAACAGTTGCTGATCTTCCGCAACCCTATGATACACCACACGTTGTGAGAGAAGCTATAGTATACTCCGTTCCTACAAATCCTCTCTTATACGTTCCCGATGGATTCACCGTGAAATTATATATGAGTGGTCTTTCATCACCACGATATCTAACTTATACACCCTCTGGTGATATCCTTGTTAGTGAATCAGCTGCTAATCGAATCTCTTGTCTCGTTGACAATAATAATGATGGTTATCCAGATCAGCGTCTAACATTTGCTGATGCATCAAATGCACTTAATTCTCCATTTGGTATGGCTTTCGTCAATGGATATTTTTATGTTGGCAATCAAGATGCCACTCGACGATATTTGTGGACATCTGGAAGTCGAAATATCACAGGCACAGGTGAAATAGTAATGACTTATCCTTCATATTATCATTGGACACGAACTGTTCTCATTTCACCAAATGAAAATCAAATATTTGTTACTATTGGTTCAGGATCTAATGTCGACGCAGAACCATTACCACGAGCTTCTGTTCAACAAGCTAATCTCGATGGTAGTAATCAAACAACATTTGCTTTTGGTATTCGAAATCCTGTTGGTTTAGCTTTTCATCCAATTACTAGTGATCTATATGTAACATGTAATGAAAGAGATGGTTTTGGTGATGATCTTGTACCTGATTATTTTACACGTATTCGACAAAATGATTTTTATGGATGGCCATATGCTTATATGAGTTCGAATTTAACTGATCCAAGGAGACTTCTCTTTAATGGAACAAGTGAACGACCTGATTTAGTATCAATTACAAAAACACCTGATGTTCTCTTTCAAGCTCATTCAGCTCCACTTGATACCCGATTTTATACAGGTAATCAGTTTCCTAGTCGATATCGAAACGGTGCTTTTGCAACATTCCATGGTTCATGGACTAGAAGTAGTGGAACTGGTTTTAATATTGTTTTTATTCCATTCGATAATATTACCAATCGACCACTAGGTTTTTATGAAGAGTTTGTTTATGGATTTTTAACAAATCCATCTGGTCCTGATACATTTGGACGTCCAGTTGGATTACTTGTTTTGAACGACGGTAGTTTGTTATTTACCGAAGATGGAAATAATCGTATCTACCAGGTGCAGTACAGTCAGGACTCTACTGGTACTAACATGGCGAGTACTAATGCCGTCAATCGCATTATTACACTGCTTAAGTCTCTGTTGTTGTATTTTCTCCTTCATTCTTTTTATTTCTCTCGTGTCTGTTTATTTTTCGTTGGTATATAGAACTATCTGTATCACTCTCACTCTCTACTAAAAGAGATAGAACGAGAAAGCAGGACACAATTGTACAAAGAAAGGGAAATAGTAGAGTATGGACGCAATGGCGGGTGCGGAGTGGTGGACCGTGTCACAATCTGTTCTTCGTTTGACAAGATCTTCACAGAATTCGATCTTGAGAAGTAAAATATTTTATTATTCACTAGTCAAAAGGCGGGCAACCCAAATGTTCCTTTGTAAGGTTCTACTTAGAGAAGGCGGCATGCAGCTCTAAATTTTCTGAAAGCTGAAGAAGCACGCAGCGGTCTCATCCGCATTCCCCATTTAGCAGCGAGTCTACTTCTTCTTTTTTTTTAAGTCTATATTTTATTTCTAGTCTTGTCCCGATGTTGACATCTCGGATTGAATTCAGCGAAAATGAAGTCATCAAGAAAACGAACATAGAACGATCGATGCGGTACAATGAAACTAGCAATGCGTTCAAAATCTCTCAGCTTATGTTTCAATGTAGAAATTCATGGAAATGATTGATCAAGGCGATTGAACGAAATCAAGCAAACGGAACTACTGCATTGCCACGGTAATGAGTTTTTAATTTAAAAAGCGCTGCGGCGTTGTACGGTGCAATAAAGCGAAAACTGATAGTCAGTCCTTCACTGCTACCTAAGATTCGTGATCCGATATTCAGAGCATTTTTACGCTCATTTTCTTTATAGAAACAGTCGGGCGGCGCACATTGCTGAGAGAGATCATCGTAGGACATACTGAACTGCCACTGTTCGATAAGCAATTTATCGACAATATTCTGAATAGTTGTGTTAGGTAAGAAACGACTTAGTACCGATGTGTCCATCGCTGTTACACTACCGATTGTATTGAACGTAGTTCATCATCAGTTTTCAGATAATACAACAACACGTCGATTAGAGCCCTGCAGGATCCCTGTAACCTGCCCTGCCCGGCCAGGACAGGGTCAGATTGCTGGAATTTCTACAGGGCAGGTTGCAGGTCACTGGGGTCGTAACCTATTAACCTGCGTCAAAAAGTGCACTTCAGATGTTGTCGACATCTATTCAAGAGATACACAGAACGAGAAAATAGGTAAACTATGAACTAGATAAGATTGGTTGCAACTGCTTCCAACGAAAGAGAATCAATGTAGTTCATTCTTTATAGGTATAGCTACTCCAGCGTACATACGATATAATTCCCTAGTTTTGACTTATTGTTTTTATCTTTTTTCTTGCTATCACACACTATTCCACCTCTGGAATATCGTCAGCATTTGGTCGTCTAATTCGTGTAAAAATGTCCAAGTCAGACTCGAATAAGGAGATGGAGCGAAAAAAGAAAGAAGTGATGCAAAAACTGAAAGATGGTCAATTCACACCGAAAGCAGAGAAGCCAGTATCTTCGCACGGACAGTCCGTTTGCACTTTCCCGATCGAGAAATATGTCCCGATCGGGAAACTTTCCCAATCGGGAAAGATGTTATCTCATGAACCATAAGTCGTCTGGAGTGCGGCCAAGTTTTATTCTGTCGCTTAGGTGATTTTCATTTGCTCTATGTGAAAAGCTGAAGCTCCTCTTTGATCGTTGGTTACGTGCCATGCTAAAACAACTTTTTGCTGAAAAATCCCTTATTTTTATTTCCCGATCGGGAAATAAGACAGGATATTTCCTGTTCGGGAAAGATCAACTATTTCCCGTTTGGGAAAGATGTATTTCCTGATCGAAAAATAATGCGATACTATGCACTATACTCTTCTTAATGCTCATTTTGACTTTCTGAAGGCTAACATCTCAACCGGAACCTGATGAAGAGAAAAGAAATTGAATAATTTGTTCTGGCACGTATCGAACGATCAAAGAGGAGCTTCAGCTTTTCACATAGAGCAAATGAAAATCACCTAAGCGACAGAATAAAACTTGGCCGCACTCC